TTTAAGAATGCATCCTTTACAAAAACCACCTCTGCATTCTAATGGCCAGAGCTGCATTGATATTGGTTCTCTGTACTTGATTATTGTATATATTTCCTTGGGGCTTACCTTTCTTTTACATTCTCTTTTCCATAATTGACTGTTCAGCTCTCCTATGGATGGCCCCAAATGCATCTTCATAAATCTATCTTGCAGGCTACCCTAATGTAAAGATTTTTAAAATTTCCATTACTACCATTAGAGTCAACATGGTTCAGGAAACTTACTAAAAACTTACTATGTGCAATATGATGAGCTGGCTCTATTCCTTTCTAGTCAGCAATCTTTTCTGAGTTGACAACATGCAAAACACTGCCCAAATGGTAGGGAAGAGAATTTGAAGTGATCTCATTAAATGAAAAGGCAGGATCAATACATAGACATAATATAAACAATAAAAACATATATAAATATATACTCAAATGTGATTGATTACATAGACAAAAAGCATTAACTCAAAAAGTAAAGGAGAATACCCATAGGAAGAATACACTTTTAGAGGATGGATCAGAAGTAAGAACTTTTAGGTTGAAATCTCTTCATATTGAGGCTGGTGCAGCGTCTTATGCCTGTAATCCCAACATTTTGGGAGGCCAAGGCAGGCAGATCGCTTGAGGCCAGGAGTTCCAGACCAGCCTGGTCAATATGGTGAAACCCCATTTCTACTAAAAATATAAAAATTAGCCCAGTGTGATGTCACGCGCCTATAATCCCAGTTACTTGTGATGCTGAAGCATGAGAATTGCTTGAACCTGGAGGCGGAGTTTCAGCGAGCCGAGGTCACACCACTGCACTCCTGGGTGACAGAGCTAAACTATGTCTCAAAAGAAAGAGAGAGAGAGAGAGAGAGAGAGAGAGAGAGAAAGAAAAACTCTTTCTTGAAATAATGACTGTCAGATAATTTTCAAAAGACTGGAGAGTAGAGTTGCTTGGTGAAATGGAGAATTAGGGATGGTGGAAATCAAGTTTAAAGTATTTTCCAAGAGGAGAAAGCAATCCTTGGTGAAAAAAATTAGAAGGAAGAGACTAGTAGCATTAAACACAGAATAAATAACTTTAGAATAAATACAAATCTGCAATCATAGCCCATCTAATATGACCTTTTCCAAGCTTTGAAATCTTACCTCATTTTATGTTCTTTATTGTGCTGCACTCCAGTCACATTAATTTTCTTTCTAGCTCTCCAACATGCCAACGTTACTGCTGTGTCAGGGTCTCCACGGTTGTGGGTCCCAGTGTCATTCTGTATCACTCATCTCTCCAGTGTATTTCTAGCCCTTCAACTTTCAACTCAAGTAAGACCTAATGAGAGCTGCTTTCCAGTCTGTTCCATCTAAAGTAGCTTACTACATCTTCATTTCTCTCTATCTATTCTCTTGTTTGATTTATTTGGTAGTATTTAATACTCTTTTAAATCATCCTCTGTATTTGTGTAGACATTTATTGTTTCACACATATGCTCCATGTTCTTTCCACTGTGTTCCCAGCATTCAAAAGGTAATTGGCACAGAGTATACACTAAATGATTGTCTGTTTGTTGAAATAAGGCTATAGTTAATTTTACATAAACTTTTATTGAAATGTATGTGTAGAAAAGCCCATGAAACGTAAGTGTACAGCTTGATGAGTTTTTAGAGAGATCACACCCCTTGTAGTAGCTTGAAGATCAAGAAACAGAACATTAGAGGAGTTCATCCCCTCCTTGTTTTTAGTTAATTTAAAGTAAACAACTGACTATTTCTTAAAGTGTGAGATAGGACATGCCATGGCAAGATAACATTTAAAATCATTGAGTTTCCTTGATATGATTTTTATGTTTTACAGGGAACATGGAGACAGTTTGGCCATGTACAGGTTTTAGTAGTTCAAGTAAAAATATTTAAATATAGAAACATTACAGTGAAAAAATCAGACAGTTTTCAGCTGATTATTAGTATGACAATATTTGTAAAAGGGGCAAAAAATTATAAAGTAATGAGGATAATATAAGAAGTACAGCAGACATAAGCTAAGGGCAGAGTTGTTTAATGAGGAAGAATGAAGATGTCTAATTTGTATAGATAGATTTTATGTTTTGTATCTTTTATTATTATAAAATCATTGTGGGCCGGATACAGAGGCTCATGCCTGTAATCCCAGCACTTTGGGAGGCCGAGGCAGACGGGTCACTTGAGGTCAGGAGTTCAAGACCAGCCTGGCCAACATGGTGAAACCCCGTCTCTACTAAAAATACAAAAATTAGCCGGGCATGATGGCGCACACCTGTAATCCCAGCTACTTGGGAGGTAAATGTGTTCATAGGGGTTTGTTGTACAGGTTATTTCATCACCCAGGTATTAAGCCTAGTATCTATTAGTTATTTTTCCTGATCCTCTCCCTGCTTCTAGCATCTACCCTCCAATAGGCCCCAGTGTGTATGATTTCCCCCTTATGTGTCTGTGTGTTCTCATCATTTAGCTCCCACTTATAAGTGAGAACGTGTGGTATTTGGTTTTCTTTAACTACATTAGTTTGCTAAGGATAATGTTCTCTAGCTCCGTCCATGTTCCTGCAAAGGACATGATTTCATTTTTGTGTGTTTGTGGCTGCATAGTATTCCATGGTGTATGTGTACCACATTTTCTTTATCCAGTGTCTAACATGATGGACATTTAGGTTGATTCCACATCTTTGCTATTGTGAATAGTGTTGCAATAAACATGTGTGTGCATGTATCTGTGTGATAGAATGATTTATATTCCTATAGGTATATACCCAGTAATAATAGTATGGCTGGGTCAAATGGTCTTCCTGTCAGAAAGACCAAAATTTAAGTATGTCTTGTTAATCCAAATATTTATTAAGCTATGGATAGGAAATGCTTTCTTTTAGCTGTTGTGGGACATACAGGATACCTCTGCCCCTAGGGGGCTTACGATTCAGTTAAAGAGCACAACTCAACACATCAAATGATAACTCATAAGCAAACACTAAATAGTGAGTTACAAATATATGTCATAGTATAAGATGCAGTGGATATTCCAAAGAAAGGTAAAGTACTTATAACTGATAAGGTCCAAACTGCTGAGGTGTAAATTACAATTTTTACAGAAATAGGAGTAGGTTTAAAGGAACAGATTTGAAATTCAGTTTAGGATATGTTGAGATTAGATGTGTCTGAAGCATCAGAATGGACATATTGACAAACATTTGTTATGTGTATCTGAAACTTCAGGGAGAATTCTGGAATGGGGGCTCAGACTTTGGAGTGGGGCAAGAAATAGAGCTTGTAGTAGAAATTCATCAGCAAGGATAATGCCACCTAATGAAATATTATAAAGTGAGGTTAACTATGGCACAAGTAGAATTCCAAGGTATAACACTTGTCATATAGAGAGGAGAAATAAAAGCAAAGAAATCTGAGCAATAAGTGTGACAAAGGTAGGAGAGGTAAGATGTATCACTTTATTCAAAAATTATCTGAGTTGACTAATTCTAGCATATCATTTTCTTTCAACTATTCTTTCTAGCTAAGCACATTTTCTAGGCATTTTATATCACGTATGGGAATTCTGTAACGTGAGATAATAGTTTTATATATAAACTCTAGAAATGCATAGACTTCTGTGTATATTTGTACGGGATACATTTATTTTTATTGTATGTTAAAAATTCAGTGTTTCCTCTAAACAAATATTGAAAGGTAATTTTTTTTTTATACCACTGAGGGAAATGCTAAAGGAGTGACTGATTTAAGACTGAATTTGGACAGTGAATGAAAATACTTATGACCATCATTCCATGCACACTAGAATAGAGATTCATTTGACACATTTGCAAAACTGTGTGCCTATGTCTGGGTAAGCTTTCTTGCAAATGAACAGCAGTGTTTTTCTGTAGTAAGTCACTAAGTATTCCAGTCCTCCTCAGTAACATATGAAAGTATTACAAGTTTTAGAACTCGACACATGTTACCCAGGTAAAGTGATGAAACACATTGTTCCATACACACATTATCTGGAAAAAAATTAACATTTTGAATTTTTATAGTATCCCTAATACTATAAAATCACTGGGACACTATTTTGCCATCAAAATAAGTAAGTTATTTACAAGAAGAACTGTTTTGAGATAATGCATTAATAACTTTAGAAGGCAAAGAAAGTCCAGGGGACCTAATTTGAATTGGGCAGGAGACTAAATTTTGTTGTATGTTCTTTTTTTTCCCTTCAGCAATTTCAATCCAATGTTTTTACAAAGTTTTTCTTGGCTCATCAAGAGTTTGTTAGATACTTCTGGCCACTTGCTTGATTTGCATCTATCTACAGTTGTGCAGATTTACCTGGAGGGTTAGCCCTTAAACTCTTGAACATGAAATAACAAGAACAATAATAATATAGAAACACTCATGAATGCTTCTTTCCTTCAGTTTTAGATCTGTCACCTGTCATTGCTCCATATACAAAATATTTATGTTTATAAATTTAATTATCTATCATTAGATTTACTTAATTAACTTTGTTCTAACAACTGTGTTTCATTTGTTGGCTCTTCTTCAGATTCTTTTCTTTGTCTTCTCACGTCAATGTCTGAATAGATTGCAGTGTTTGTTGAATGCACTCCATTATTAAGTACACTGTTCTGATCCTTGTATAATAATTTGTGTAACTACCACCAGAAATAGACTTTTCCCCTGGGGAAACTAGTTTGCAAAGAAAATGTTATGAATTTTCACTGTAGTCTGTTAGTTTTTATCTCCAGGCATACTTAATATTACAGTATTTTTTTAAAATGCAGTGTTATTTTAAAGTTAATTCATTTATAACTTATTTTAAAGTTAGGGCGTGTCCCTTAAAAAAAGACAGCCTGTCATATTCTCATAATAATATGATTTAATACAATGTAATGTGATGTTTCATTCATTCTGGTTGTGTTGGCTTTTTCTAATGCTTTTTTTTTTTTTTTTTTTTTTACATTTTCAGGGTGAAACAAAGATCTTAAAACTAAAGAATCTTCGACCTCAGGACTATGCTAATTATAGCTGCATTGCTTCAGTGAGGAACGTATGTAATATTCCTGATAAGATGGTGTCATTTAGACTGTCCAATAAAACAGGTATGGAATTATCTCCATATGTTACATGTATCTTATCTACAACTAATGTTTAAAAACTCTCTTTAACTTTTTAAAGACCAAATTATTTCTATGGTGTATGTAGGAATAAGCACCTTTATTCCCAGAAAATCCTGGGATATCTGAAAAGCTTCATACATGGACACAGTAAAATGTCATTGTAATATACTCCATGTAATATGTTTACATGTAAACATACAATATTATAGCTCTTTAAAGTATTGCATTCTAAAATGTCACTAATGAGCATATATCCTGTTCAAAAATATTCTTGAGAAATACTAGATGCTTCATATAAAAATTCATGATTGAAGTTGCTAAATGAGTTTTGTGCTTTCAGAGTTAAGTAAAATAATCTTTCTTTTGCTTTGTGTCAAGTCAAGAAAACTAATAGGTAATTTCAGATAGATGTTTTTAAAACAGTATTTTTGTAGAAAATGACTGGGCACGGTGGCTCACTCCTGTAATCCCCAGCACTTTGGGAGGCCGAGGCGGGTGGATCACCCGAGGTCAGGAGTTCAAGACCAGCCTGGCCAACATGGCGAGACCCTGTCTCTACTAAAAATACAAAAATTAGCTGGGCGTAGTGGTGGGCGCCTGTAATCCCAGCTACTCGTGAGGTTGAGGCAGGAGAATCGCTTGAACCAGGGAGGCGGAGGTTGCGGTGAGCCAAGATCGCGTCATTGCACTCCAGCCTGGACAACACCAGCAAAACTCCGTCTCAAAAAAAATAAAATAAAAGTTAAAGCCTTAATAGGATTGAAACTTAAGTTAGCCTTTGTTCAATAATATAGACCCTAGAATAATGATAAACATCTTAAAAATAAATTGATGAATGAAAGAGCAAAGAGAGAGTATATGAGTAAAACATATTTTGTATGATTGTGCTTAAACAATCACCTTAATAAATTAAAATTTGAACTGGTCTTGAGAAACTCCAACTTTTTGTGTCAATTAATATAAATTTTTACTTTTAAGTAACTATATTAAACTAAAGATTTTTAAAGACCCTTTTCCCATTAACAAAAATCTCTAAAAGTATGGGCTTTTTTGTGTCTGGGTCTAGACTCTGCTTGTGCCACTTACTAGCTTTTGCACCTTGTCGAGCAAGTCACCTAACATTTCTTTGCCTGATTTCCTCATAAATTCATGAAGTTGTAGAAAGAATTAGAGTGGATACATATAAAGCATGTGGAACACACTTTACTAGTTCTTCTAACAAAGAGCTGGTCAGCAAATCCAACCAACTTAGTTGGTAAAAAGATGAAACTTAGGACTTTATTGTAAAATATATTTTAAAAAGTCAGCTACAGCATTGGTTCATCAACATATGTTCCATCGAGCTGCCAAGATTTTGAAATGTTCATTCATTTATACATTAATTTTTCTATTCATCAAACGTATTGGGACCCTCCTATCAGGACGCTGAGGCAGGAGAATGGCATGAACCTGGGGAGCGGAGGTTGCAGGTGAGCCAAGATAGTGCCACTGCACTCCAGGCCTGGGGCAACAGAGCGAGGTCTGGTTTCCCT